GGCGTGTGGCACCGCATTCAGTTCCGTACACAATATCTCAAGTGTGTGTGTGTGTGTGTGCAGTAGGAACTGGCAGCGGGGCAGCAAGCTGCCTTTGTCAAGCCTTTGGGCGAGCCGGGCGGCTGGGCCCCGTTTGAGGCTTGAGGCGTGGGGTGCAAAAGCCCAACGACTGGAGTGGATGGATGGCGGTTTGGACGACAGGCAGTGACAAAGCGACGTGACGCTGGGGCTGAGCGGGTCGGAGTTGGATTGAGCGGTGGGAACTCACAGTGTAAGCTGTTCAAGCCGCCTGGTTGCGGTAGGGCTGGCAGTGAGGGAGGGCGATAGAATTGAAAGAGTTGAGTTGAGCTGCTGCTGGTTGTGAGTTACCTCAACATGAGCGTGGCCTTCTGCAGGTTCCGCCTGGAGAAACCAGCAGGCGGGACGCATTCTCGTTTTCCTAAGCCCTTCATGGCCTAAACCGGAGGTCTTTGTCACCCTCCAAAGCTGCCAAGTTGTTTGTGTTCAATTGTTGATGGTCGATCTTCTAGCAAAGGAAACCAGCACGAAAACATGTTTGCCGGCTAGCAATGCCCAAAGTGCATAGACAGAACTAATCATATTCCTCACCAAAACGGCCAACAGGCAGGAACGGTGTACAGTTCATGGCTGCTCCGTCATCCTTCTATCACTTCAATGGTTTTGTGGCAGCTGAGGTGCAGACCGGCTGAACTTGCAGGCCTGCAAGCGCGACCAGCCGGGAACCTTTGGCTGTTGCATCCGGGTGCTCAGAAGGCTTTTGGAAAGAGTTTGGCACAATCCCCCACAAGAGTAGGAAGTGCTTTGCCAAATTGCATGGCTCTCACGTTTCGTCTCTTCTGAAGAAGTTAAATAAATTTGGCAACTCTAAACTCAAGCCGCACCAAAAGGTCCGCGGCTCTCCAATTCTCCGGTGCAGTCGGGCGTGCCAAGGAATGGTCAGCCGCTTCTCACCTGCATCCTCAAGCGACGCTTGGAAAAGCCAGCTGTGGTCCAGGAGGGGGCTTGCCAAGTGCAGAGAGAGGACCTTGCCATAGCCGTTAAGGCTTGCAGATACTCACAACCAAACCTCAAACCTCAGGCGGCCAGTCCTTTAATGCAAATGATGCCTCGGGTGAGCGCCGAGCGTTGAAGCGATCTTTGACCTGGAATGAAGTTGAGGGAAGGAGGCTCTAAAAGAAGATCGTTGTTTGGAATTTGACCAATTTGACCTCCCAAATCTCTTCAGCCCTTCACTTCAGGAGCCGAATCCGAAGAATGGCTGGACCCCGCAGGCTGGGTGGCTTGCGGTGCTTTGCCCGGACAGCGAGCCCTGGGGACCATGGAAGGGGATGGTGGTCGAGAGGGGTGTCACCGTGTGAGCAAGCGACGCAAGACCATATTTGTGAAGAGGTGCCCAGAGGTGAGTGGGTCAAGCTTCAATCAATCTAGGGTGGGGCAGTATTGACACAACAAAATGGTTGGAAGTTGGAAGGGAGTGTCCAAAGTGCAATCAATACGTGATGATCACATCCTACACCATGGCCTCCCAAGTGAAGTCGTCTTGGCCTCGCTATCTCCTTGATTTTTTGAGTTGAACCTGGTGGAGATTCTATGAGTCTAAGGCTTGACCACGCGTTGGTGGTGGTCATGCAGTATGATGTCCCAGCAGCTGCGACTGCGATGTGACATGATGTGACTCACCCCTTGCGTCGACGGTGTGAGACGTTTGGTTGGCTTGTGCCTCGCACATGAGGTGATGGCTCAAGGGGGGGTTCTGAAAGCCTGGGACCCCCCGGAAGAGTCATCAAATGCCAATGGATGTTCCAACGGATGTTTCTGGCATGAGCAGAAAGGCCGTTAAAGGTTGAAACTCCTTCAGTCTTGAGCCCTGCCCAGTCCAGGCATATGTGCAAGCATCTCGCCCTCTTCGGCACATGGGTGACGCCATGACCATGCGCACGCCACCTGAGCTACGATGTGTTGGCGCTGGAACGCGGCAGTCTTGCCTCATGAATCAGGTGAGGTTGGGTGGGCCTTTTCAGATGGCCGGGTCTTCATGGATCTTCCTGGTCCATGGGGTCTGGTTTCAAGTCCTGGCCGATTTCAAGCACCAGACTCCCAGTTTCAAATCATTTCACCTCATCTACGAGCTAGTGACTTACGGTTCGGGATGTCGTGACCAAATTGTTGTGCACCTAGAGGAGAAGAGAAAGTTCCACCGATCCACAGAGTGTCACGTCCTGGCTGCGATGCGACTCCATGATTTTCATGTCGAAGTGCAAGGAAGCACAACAATTTTCCTGCAAATGCAAATCAATGCTCTTCTGCACGGCAGGGCTTTGGGTTCAACCATGCTAGAAACGACCGCTGCCAGGTGAAGCGACGGCAGTGCCTCAGTTGCCCTTGTGGCAACGCCGGCCGCATGAGACCCCCACGCTTTCCAAGGTGCCCTGGACCGTCGTTGCTATGAGGCTCCATGAGTCGGAGTTAGTGGATCCTGGTGGATCCCGCCGAGTGACGAGTGGCTTCTTGCTCTTAGTAGTAATGCCAGGAGCTACTAGTAGCTTCCTGCTACTAGTAGCGATGCCCTTTGTTACTACGAGCTTCTTGTTCCTGAATTCTTAAGGCAAAACCTCGGCAGTTGCGATTCGCATGTTCTTTTTCTCCTTAAGCGGCTTCTCTGAGGCCAGCTCTGCTGTGAGCGGGGATGAGGAGCAAAAAGATGAGCAGCTCTTTCTGGAGCTTCAGCAGAGGCAGCTGGGCTCCTAGGTTTGTGAAAAAGCTAGTGTTGATTGATGTGTGAACGGGTTTGGCTGTTGTGGAATGGCAGTCATCTTCTGATCGTTGAGCAAATGGGGGGTTCCTGGGGTCATTTTGCTGCTACAGCTATGTGCAAAAACTGTGGTTAGATCAGGCGCATAAGAGTCTTGATTGTTGTCGCCGTTGTGATGTGTCTTCTCTTGGATTTGGCGTGGTGACCGCGTTCGTTTTTGTCATCTCCTTTTCAGCGTCCGTATGCCTAGCTTGACGGGTCGGTGCATCTTTGTCCGCAAATTCCACTGAGATATGATTTGGACATCCTTAGGCTATGTTTTATGTACGTTCTATCACGTCCAGACTCCAGACATTCAGCCAGCGGCCTGTGCGCAGCGTCGGCGATAATTTCCTTTGACCGCGACTTGTCCGGTCCTTGTCAGGCGACTTCCCGCCTTGCAGCTACCCTACGTGGAGCCAAGTTTGCCGAGGGTGCGCCGCGACCAAACAGATGTCACACACACACACACACATGTATGTGGCTGTGGCTTGTGCATCGCCTCCAGTGCAGCGTGTTTGTCCGGTGGTCGCTGGTAGCTAAAGCCCACCACACTGGGGTGTAGGTGTACTAGTGGCAAGAACGCTACTAGTAGCAAGGTGCATCGCTACTAGGAGCAAGGACGCTACTAGTCGCTCCTGGCCTTACTACTAGTAGCAAGAAGCGTCATATGGATCCTTCCGGCGGAGCTTGTGAAACTTGTCCGCCAGGGCGCTGACAACCTCCTGCTGGCCGCACGGCCAGGCGGCCGGGCACCCTTGCTGCTGGTGGGTACCTCTTGCACCAGTGGAGCATCTTGGTGATGCAGTTGGTGGTGAGCCAGGGGAGTTTCACGGCATTTTTCAAGCTCCTCATTCGCTGAAGCTTGGCATGCGCACATGCATATACATAATGGCCCATAATAGTATAAGGACATGTATATAAAGTGAATATAGTGAGGATTGGAACGCTGTTTCAATTCAAATCCCACATATTGATTATATGCACTTAGAATGCGTCCCAAAACCCCTCATTTAGGGTTGCACTCCCTAAGTTTCAGTGCGTCCATTGGTGCAGTCAATAGTTACTTGTTGCACAATCACTGATTCTGCCACATCCCTTCATTTAGAAGAGGAGCACTCCCTGAGCTACATAAAGTCAATCTTGGTGGAGCCAACAGTTGCAATCATGTGACCGGGGTGTCAACTCTCAATCATGCGCAAATTCCACAACGTCATTCTAAGTTTCGGGCCTGTACTCGGTGTATTTCATGTATATAGTATGTAGAGTACAGAGAGAGAGAGGTCTTCATGGTGTCAGCTGCTATGGTGTAGCGACATGTAAACGTGTCCTGCCTCTCGTGATGGTGTTCTGTGCTGCAGGGCTTGACGCAACGTGGCGACAAGAAGGAGAAGGCGCACCAGGTGTCCCTTTACGATGTGGAACCGCAGAAATTGGGTGGCCTTTCAGCAGTGACCCAGCTGGGCTTTGGCTATCAGGGTGCATCTGCCAATCCCTGGGTCCATGCTTTTTGACGATTCTGTTTACCCAAGCCCTCCACTAGTGGAGATCGACCACGCTCAACTCCACCAAGGAGCCTTTCTGGTCCGAGCAGTCGCGGCTCCTGGTGGCTCTTTGCTGGGACCATAGTGGCGGATGCTTTGCAGCGGCCTCACAGGAAGAGGATGTCAAAGGCCAGAAACTTAGAGAACAGGATTTGGATCTCTTGGCATCTTATCCAGCCAACTGGTGACATTGAGACCTGTCTAACCGCATGGCGAATGAGTTTGAAGCCGCCATAAGCCACCAGGCGAGAAAGTGTGCTACATCAACATTTGGAGCATCCATGACGGTTCCGAGCGCTCAGTAGGCCGGGGGTCGAAGTCATCTTTTCCAGTGGTGAGCGGACCCGGCGAGATCCATCCCCCACTGCAGGTGCGAAGCGCCCGGACCGCCCGCCCGGTGGGGGGGTTCGCTATTTGTCCTCAGTGCATTGGTTTGCCAGGACGCTTGGTGTGGCCACCCATCGAACAACGCTGGGAGTTAAGAGCCCTTTGCTTCTGTGGCTTCCGGCTGGCAGCGCTGGCGAAAGGAACCAACTGCAGTTTCGTCTCGCTCATGGATGCGGCTTGGATGGCCAGGTGGGTTGTGTGGGTTGGGTGGATGGGGTGCCAGACATTGCAAGCCTGGAGCTTTAAGTAGCTGGCCGGCCGGATCGTGCGAATCAAAGACTATACAATGTGTTGAGGGACTACGTGGTTGTTGGATTGCGGGTGCACGGTCCCTGCACGCATGAAGTCTACATGTACTCACTCAGTCTCGGCACTTCCTCAGGTAGACACTTGCTTGGAAGTAAGCCGCTTGATCCTTCCTCCTGATTATCCTCGCTATGTCAGCCAGTTTTTGCTGAGCAGCCCTGTGGAAGGCCAGTCTCCAGTTTTGAGCGGAGTTGCGGCCTTAAGCATCCATCAGCACTTCTATCCAAAGTCACGAGGTCATGAATGCAAGTATAAGTGGAACGGCTGTTGCTGCATTTTGGCCATTCTTACACTTCGGCAGAAGTGCTTTCACCTGGTTTTGGCGGACGTCTCACATGAACTGGAAGGCATCACCAAAGGATTCGTACAGTGTGGAATTCGGGCACGTTGATGATCGTGACTCCTCCCCACTCTTACTATACGAAGCAAACAGACATGGCAATGCGGCCAACATCAGTGTATATTTTAAAGAAGTTCTCGGGAAAGCCAGGCCGTATTTTAATTTGCTGGCCAGGCCAGTTGTGTGGAGCAAGGGCCTTACAGTAAGGCAGTGAGGCAGTAAGGGGCTCCCCAAAAAGAAAGGCCTTGAGGCTGGACCGTTTCTCCTTTCGCAGGCTTGTGTATGGAATGCCTTGCTCTGGCGGTGGATCGGCGAGTCCTTCTTTGGACACCAGGTGCCAAGCAGGGATCTCTTTTCCATTTGTTCGGGGAGGATGTGTAATTCTTGCAGTGCATTCGGAGATTGATTAGTGGTTGAGCGTGGACATTTCTCGATGCCTGTGGCAGGCCAGCAGGATGAAGAGTTTGTCGAGGTGGCATACTGGAGTGGATGTCGTAGCCCTCTCGGCTGCTTGGCTTTCAAAATTTCAAGGTTTCGGGCATCACGTCAAACGCCCAAGGCCACATCTTGAAGGTTCCAAACTCCATTGACCCGTAAGAGATGGCGAAGGAGTGGAGAGGTCTTTGGTGAACCCCTAAGGCTGTAAGGGCCCCAAACCTGACCGAGAGAAGTGCTGCTGTGAAGCTCCACTCTTTGCTCGATCCTTTTGGAGCGGAAGATTCCGGTAGATTCAGAGCCACCAAAGGGCCCAATGATGAGTCTTGACAACACTGTAATATTGATCGAGCCATCTCGAGCTGTGGCCATGGCGCCCAGGTACCGATATCACCTTGGGACAGGATGAGAGGAACAAACTCTTGGTGGCTTGGAACTGGTATGACTTCCATCTTCATTGGATGCGCAAAAAGGGGCACGGGCATGGGACTTCCGCCCATGCCAGCACACCAGACCCCAAACATGACCGAAGCCTTGAGTCCGTGGAAGGTTCATTAGGGTTCTCGGCCAAATGAACTGAGGTCACACAGGTGAAGGAGAATGGCCTTGCACATGAAGCAGGTGTGCGCGGGTCTTCGGGTGACTTGGTGCAAAGTCAACATCAGTGATAAGACCAGACCGCAGACCGCAGATGTGTGATTGCGCGCACAAAACAGAACTTGTGTGGCTGTTTAGAGTTTAGAGAATTCGCCGCAAGCTGCTTTGCATCGTAAGATTTCATGAGAGCCTGATCTTGTTGAGTTTTCCTCCCGTTTTGGCCGTGATGGGGGTGTCCTCCAAATGATGACCGCCTCATACTCTTCTCCGGAGTTGGGACCGGGGATGGTGGTTAGATCTGGAGACCCGCTTCGCAGAGGTTGGTTGCTGGCGGGCTGGCGCCCGCTCCGGCCCTCCAATGGCTATTTCCTGCACATGCCGCATACTGCGGACTCCCTGAAGAGGATGAAGGATATAGAAAAAAACCCGGAGGCTGGAACGATCCTGCCTTTCTCCGTTTTTGTGAGCTGGTTTTGAGTTGGACATCCATCCTGAAGGGAAACAGACTTGTTGTATTGCCAAACGCGTAGAGATATGTGACTTTAGCCTGTGCTTACCAGCAGACCAGTTGCTTCACAAGCATGATAAGCATGCGTGGCACCCTTGGGCCACGTAGCTTCCACTGTTACTGGGTAGTGATGTGCAAGACCTCGAGTGCGACTAGCATGCGAAAGGTTTGGTAGATCTGGCTCTGGGTAATGAGGTGATTTCTGGGGTCATGAAGGGAGCATCACACTGCGTGAGGTGATGCTACGCTTCCAGCCGCCGAACTTGGACGCTCGGACGAAAGTTAGGTTTGGAGTCATTTCGCCTCGTTTGGAGTCCTGTGTGTTGTGTCTGCTTCTTTTCACGAAAGACCTGTGTTAGGGAGTTGTGGGGGAATGTGAATGACTTCGCCTTCTAACTGTCTGCAGATCACGATGTGCCGAAAAAGACATTGGCACATCCTGGCATGTCCTTAGCCAAACCTAGATTCAAGAACAAGATCAATGAACATGACGATCCAAACGCTTCTGCACTTGGACTCTCAGCCTGGAAGAACCCTGCCGGTGCAGAAGCCCTGAACATTGCATCGTCGAAATCTCCAAGCACTGGTAGGGTTCCTCCAGGTGTAGAAGTGTTTGGGTCTTCATGCTCTTTTTCCCTGTGCCAGTATGCCAAGCCAAAGACTGATTCAAGAAGGCATTGTTACATCGTTACGTGGTTGAGGGAAGACTTTCTTTTGCCAGGGCAGTTGCTGGCAAGTGGAGGTGGTTGCAGGTCACAATTTCAGACACCCCCGACACAGCACACGCGGGTGTCAGGACATTGTCACCCTTGAGATGGACTTCCATGTGCGTTGCACGGCTCCCTTCGAGGATGGCACCCTCTTGGCTGTGGGTTGCCTTAAGATCGAAGATTTTGAGAGTGTGACAGGTGGGGCTTGGAGTTTGCTGGGATGGTGCGGAAAGCTTCAGAGCATGTCCTCAGTGCTCAGATTTCGTCGTTTTGGCTGATGGAGGACCAGTGGTCCATAGGCACACCTTCCGCCCTTGCCAGGCCTGCCCAGGAAGTCCACGCCCACACAAGGCGGGGGCGAGACATTTTGTGAGCTTGGCAGGACGCTGCTGTATTTGCGGTAGGTGTTGCGGTAGGTGTTTTCAGTCCTCATTTGTGAGGCAGTTTCATAAATGAAAAATCACATGGATGTGTGCGCGTTCGCCAACCATGAGGTTCCCCAACAGTCCAGCTGCAATGGTCACAGAGACACAGTACAAGCTTTAAGCCTTATTCCATTTTATTCTTGTTGGTCTTATTAGTTTGTATATAGATGTCTTTAGCATGTAAGAAGGAACTGGCGCGGATGTCCGCCCCGCTGTTGTTGCAGGACATGGCAAGAACCATGCAGAGTCCAGCATGCTGTCCATTTGGAGCCTTGAGACGCGCGAGTGCCTTGCCACACGGAAAAACGGGTCGCGCGGGAAGCGGGTGGATGTTGAGTGGAGAATTCAGAGCACAAAAAGGCAGGGAGGCAAGTCACAAGTCACATTTTTTTGATGCGTTGTTTTCACTCTCAGCTTTCGCAGATCTAGCCCCCTTTGTTGAAGCCGAGGTTCTGGCGTGCGAAAGAGGTCCATGTGACTTCGAGCATCTCCGCACTTTGCTGGCTCAGCAGATCGGAACTGGTTGTGCAGTTGGATACGGAGGATGCAGCAGGGGCCCCCAACCATCCGATTCGAAGGGGGGATTTTCCCACATGTTTGGGTTCATAGCCATGAGTGTTCTTGGTTGCATGGCGCACACACACACACACACCCACCCGGGAAGGGAGAGAGAGAGAGAGACACCAGAAAACTCCGAGGTCGGGCTTGTCAACATCGAATCTGGATCATTGGTGCGCAGGTTGGGCGTGAATGGCAGTTGTTGGCATAAGGTTCCGCCATCAATCGCTTCGGAGACTTGGGCCAGGGATGATGGTTGATCAGCTTGGCCATGATTATATCTGATTTCTCCGCGTTTTTCGCATCCCAAAGGTGGTCTTGCAAGCCGTGGAAGCCTAAAGCGATGGTGGCCAGATGGTGCGGATTTTCGGCCCCGCAGACCTTGGGAGCGCAGGACTGGCCCCCCTGGATCGCTGTGGGGCTACAGACGTGCCTTGGATGAAGCGTAAACGGAGTGGCTGAAGAGCCTTCCCCCTACTGGCGATGGCCTTCCGCCCCCACCCCCTTCACCTTGCACAACCGCCAGAAGAGCCGTGGGGTTTTGTGTCCGGGGTGTTGCAACCAGACCTCCAAGAACTGGGTTGTATGCCTGCCACTTCGTTCTGATTCAACATCACGATTCTGAAGGCCGTTGAGTAGGGCCAAGTCAACACACTAGTCACCAGTCCAATCGAGCAAGCCATAGCCCTGGCTTTTGTGAGGTGTTTTCAGTCTCTATCCATGCCCAAATCCTTCCCTTCACGGCTCTTATGGCTTCCATTCCATGCTCCCTCGCTGGAGCGCAAGACCCCCTTTGTTCCCCATCCAATCCTGCGCTCTCTGCCAGGGGCAAGTCACCTCCCCGGAGCCGCGTGGCGGTCTTCGCCGCGCGGGGCGGCGGCTGCGTGCTGCCGGCGGCGGTCATCAGTGGCGCGGAGTCGAAGCGGAAGCGGAAGCTGCCGGTGGTGGCCTGCAACGAGAGCAGCATGATCCCGCAGTTCCTGGCGGTGGGGAGTCGTTGGGGTGTTTTGTTATTTAGCTTGGCTGCTTGGGGGGTGGGTTGGCTTTCCCCATCGAGCATTTGCCAACGAACATGAATTTCGAGACCATGTATTTTTGTGTTGGCGATGGCGATGGCTTCAGTTTTTTGCTTTTCTTGGCTGTTGTTTGAGAAGGTGACCGGAACGAGCAAAAAACATCTTCCCGGGCCGACTTTCCCTGAGCCCGAATTCCCTGAGCCAAAGATCCGTGGGTTCCCTTTCCGGGGAATTCCTCCGCGGAAGATCTTAGAAGATTGTTCCGTACCTAGTAACAAGAAGCTACTAGTAGCTAGAAGCTACAATCGTTTCACCTACTGTAGCATTTCAGACCTCCCTTCGCTCCCTTTCGGTCCAACGAGCAGATCCGGAGGTCTCCGGCATCGATGGCACCGAGCCCTCGGAGATCACCTTCGACGGCTCGACGACCGCCTCGTCGGATCCTTTGGGGAGCCTCGGCAGCGCTCGCGCCGGTCCAAACCGGCGCGCGGGGTCCAAACGACGGTGCAAGGAGCCCCCTGTTGGAGGGTTGATGGAATCATATGGAATCATAATATGGAATTCACCCCTCCCATGGGGCCACTTGCCCCTGAAGATGTAGAGCCAACAGGTGGGGGGAGGGGTTTGCTGATCCAACAGGATCCAAACACTGTTTGATCGCACTTGCTGAGACACCAGGCATCCGATATGATCCGATCCTCAGGTCAAATGCCAGGAGGAGGTGGTGTATACTGTATAAGGTAAATGCATCACATACATTTTATCCTCAATGATCTCTGATTTGACCGTCCCGGACATGCTGACCAATTAGACTTTATGGTTCTTCTCTCGGACAGTTTTACAGGATACTTTCAGCCACACAGCGAACTGGCAACTGGTGAATCACCGCGTGCTAGAACCTGGTCGGGGTTAGTTTGCAATTCTGCCAGCTTTAGGGACAAGTGTGCGCATGGTAAGGCATGGTAGTTATGAGGGGGTGCGGTAGCCTTCACAAGCGCTCCACGTCTACTCAGGAAGTCAGTCAGGCAGGGTTTGAAGGGAGTTGGATTTACGACGAGAATGGGACAAGATAAACAAGCTCAGGGTAGCTCAACCTCATTTGTACTGTGTATATGGATATATACTGTATATATTCACCTAATTTTTTGACGGATTCTTTTACACTTGTGTGGAGGATGGCCTCTTATTGACGTAATGTTGACCCAATGTTTTTGGGCTCAGACTTTCACGGCTTCCCACTGCTTGAAGAGGCTTGATGTTTGGTGCTCACCATGAACCGGGCCTGAATATCGACACAGGTATTCCATCGGCTCAGTTTCTTGTTGACAGGGGGCTATCCATCTGGCAGCTCGAGGATACCAGGGCCCGCAAGGCGGGTTTGGTCGCGGAGGGAGCACGAGTTCCTCCTGCAACTGTTGGTCGGTTTTCACACCAAGACTGGTGTATAGCCCGTATATAGTAATATAATGTAATATAGTATAGACATGATATAATGAGAAGTTGTGGACTTTTTCCAGGATTTTTTCGATTGCCAAATTGCTGGCCAGAAGCATGTTCAAAAACCCAGCATGCATCAGTGGCAGTGGGCTGACTCACCCTGAGGGGAGCGTTCAATGAAACACTGACTTGAAGAGAGAACAGGTGCTCCTTGTGCACTTCCAAGACCTCCCAATGAATGAACGAAATGAGCCTCCTGAATGGAGACCTTTCTGGATCTTATGTGTATTTGGATGGATTTGGGTTGTTGGGATGTAGAAGTAGAACATATATAAGCCGAGCCGGACCCCAAGACATTCTGCAAGGTTTGTGCCCTGAGCTGTCATGCTCAACCTACCAGCGTGGCACTGAGCCGCAACTTGCTTGTGGCCTGCTTTCATCAGTCGAGCATCCTCAAGGCACCGTCGGCGGTTGTGGAACAACGAACTTGACTAGCAAACAGCACACCTCCACAACTCCAGAAAGGAGAAACCTGAGAAACTAAACAGAACACTTTGCTTGGGCTGAGGATTGCTTGTCTCAGGCCTCTTATACTACCGGCCAGGGACAGGAGTTGGAAAACGCACATCACCGTGTACAATTCCTTTGTCATGCACAACAACTATGGAACGGCCGGAATTGCAGAAAAACGCGTGAGGGTTTTGCAAGTGACGGGAGGCATGATGAGATAGAAAAATATTAGCATGTCACTCCCCTTACTGTTCCACAGTATACCTTTTCTCAGGCACCAGTGGCCTCGGTTCCGGGTCGAATCTCTGGGAGGCCTACCGGCTGCTGGGCGATGGCTTGGGTTGCCAGGAGCTCTGTTGCGAAGACGGGGCCGACAACCTGGTGGCGGCCGCCGCGCGCGCGGCCAGCGATGGCGCCGCCGATGTGGCGGCGGCGGCCGGCAAGAAGTCACAGCCGCTGTGGATGAGGGGGATCGTTTGGCGGAAGGTGGTGTGATGAAGTTTCAAAGGGCCTTGCCAGTGGGTGGGCCAGGGTGAAGCTGGAAAGATTTCAGTCGATCCGAGAAGAGCAAACAAATTGCGATGGAAGTGAAGCTCTAGGACTCTAAGGCCAGCTATAGGCATGTGTAGCCCCATCGCCTCATCGTGGAGAGCCCTGGATTATTGTTCCAGACGGATTTTCGTTCCGAGGTCCAGCCAAGTGGTGGGATTGGCTTGCTGGATCCGTCCTGGCGAAGTGAAGAAGGCCACCTTAAGCTGGGCCAAGCATGCAGAGGCTGCGGGGTCTTGGGTCATGTGGGCTAGGCACGAGAGTTTGGATAGGAGATGATATGAGGAAGGGCGAAGAGCAGCGGCTTACAGCCGCAACAAGTGGTAGTGACAGTAATTAGTGAGGATCAGGCGCAAATCGATCTTCAAAAAAACTGTGCAACCCGTAACCCGCCCTTTCAGGCGAGATCAGTTTCAAACAAAAAGCCATTGGGCCGTTTTTCTGTGTCCACACACCTTTACTGATTGGATCCCGTCAGGTCACGGCCTTGGCGTTTTTACCGCAACGATGCCATTTGGCGGGCCTTGGTGCTGGCGTTTGTTGTCTCTGGAATTTGTCCACTGAGGGCGTGGTTCACTGCTACCACGAGGTGCGTGTGGATGGTGAGAACCTCACCTGTCTGGCGGTGGGCTTCGATGGCCAGCTGCGCCGCGTGACCGAAGAGCCCCGTGCTGGCTCGCCCCCCCGCGCTCGGCGGCCGAGCAACGTGGGGCTGCTGACCAGTGGCGAGCCCTTGCCGACAGTGCAGGTGGCCACCTCAGGTGACAGTCCCCGGGTGACCGTCGTGGAGTTGCGCACGGAGTACCGCTCCGTCTGGGAGTTGCAGGATGGGGAGCGGCAGGGCACCCGAGCGGCTTCTCCGCGGGTGCTGCGCTTCACGGAGAGTGGGCGCTGGCTGGCGGTGGGCGATGCGGCCGGGCAGGTGCATCTCTTTAAGCTGGGGCGGATCGGGCAGGGCGACGGAGCAAAGGTGGCTCCGGCTCCCACTCATCAGATCCTTTCGCTGAGTGGGGAGGTGGTGGATCTGGTGCTGCAAGGGGAGCAGCTGCTGCGAGCAACCTGCTGGCATCCACCACTGGGGCCACGCCAGGAGTCAGATGACAAGTTTGGCTTGGAGCCTGAAGGGGACAAGGCTCGGAGTTGGTCGAGAGTCAGTAACCGCTGAGTGCACTCAGTGGTGTCCACCACAAAGACCTTTGTCAACGATGCAGTAGGTCACTGGTTAGCACCAAGTGGAAGACATGGAAGATCAGCCGCTTTTACTCTGCTGCATAGTTATATACAATACTATAAGTCCTGGGCAACCTTTCCAGGTGCTGGTTTATGATTTGATGAATCCCTCCTTGGACTTCATGCTGCCTGATCTGCACATGAAGGCTGAGGATGCCACTTGTCATCATGCCACTGTTCCATAGGACAAACGGGTGAGAAAAAAGAAAGTGCTTCAGTGGCTCAATGCCTTGAAACCAACAGGTCATATTGGCCAAAACCATCTTAAACCATTGACTCTGACCTCCCTCTCCTCGTTCAGCCTCGTTCAACCTCGCTCAGCCTTGTTCAGCCTCCTTCTCCTTCAAAGCGTGGAGCAGGGTCTTCGTTTCGGGTGTTTCGGGTGCCGGCCGCTGAGACCAGCTCGGCCCTCCAAGCTCAACTGGAACTGATGCCTCGGCTGCTTCACCAGCGGCTCCCAGGCCTAGGCGCAGATCTGGGAGGATGTTTTGGGGCTCGTTTTGGGTGCTTTCGGGATAGGGAATTTGGACCTGAACAAGCCTCAGCCCTAGCCTTTTTCGTTTGTGGGGATTATTAATGCGCTATGTTGCAAGCTTTTCACTGTCTGAGTGGTGACCAGTGCCTTTGAGGCTGGACGTTGTTACACTGCTGTGCCTGCCGCGGCCAAGCCCAGCACGCACGGCTTTTGGTGCGGCTGTCAGCGTCCCCCTTCGAGTTAGACGCCCAGGGCCGCAACGTGGCTGCGGCGGCAAGTTTCTTGAGGGTCAAAGTGGCGTGCTGGATGGATGCATGTTCGATCCTTTGGAACACTTGACGGGGGGAAGTGAGACCAGAAGGGCTTGAAAGTCCTGGGATGGAAAGCGCAGGTCGTGCTCTCTTGGACGGGGGAAGGTAGTGGCCACCCATATATGGAGAACCTTGCAGGTAAGTTGGCGGCCCAGTGAATATATCTGCATAAACCCTCGGGTTCCCAGCTGCTCCGATTCACTGATTGCTCGGTCTTGCATTTTTTGCCGAGGTCTTAGATGTTGCCCTACAGCACAACGAGTTCGGCGTGGTGGAGGCGGTTGCTTCTGCGGGGAACCAGCCATCGAAGGGTCGGTGGAATTCAGTAGGCCCTGTGAGCCCAAATGCGTCACATGTAAGGTTTGGACATTATAACCTGAAAGGCTTCGGTTGGTACAAACCAAAAAGCACCTGATTGGCTGAAACTTGCAGATGTCAGAAGCTGGTGTGGTTGGGGTGAGCAAGTCGCTTCGACGGCTTTTCTGCAGCTGGATCCTGATCCAGTTGGCCAAAACGGCGCGCCTTCGTCCGTCGTCTGGTAGGACCTCATGACGGTTCTCATACAATACCCCGTCACGGAGCCTGGGCATTCTTGGGATCACTTGCACGAGAACAGCGAGGTCTTGGGCCGAGTCACTTGGCCAACGACCCTTTTGGGTGATGGGGTAGGATGGGTGTGTGCGACTTTAATCGCCCTTTCTCCTTCAAAAGAAGCTCCGCCTTTTGAAGGTTTCGCTCCCCCAGACACACTGCTTCGGTTTGCTCAGGCACTGCTTGCGAACAGCCTGCCGTCGGAGCACTTGGCTCTCACCCGGACGGTGGTGCGGCTCTTGCGCTTCCGCACCGCGACGCTGCCGGAATTCTTGGACTCCGTTTGCTGGGGCACGTGCCACGGCGCTCGTATTGAGGGCATCATGTAGAGCCTAGGGCCTTAGGGGTCTATGACGGCCTTTATGGGGTCAGTGCTTTGTGGGCTTAGTTTTTGCCAAGGACCTCGACCTAATGTGGACCTGGTTCACTTTGCAAAGATCCATTTCAATTCCCCCAAGGGGCCAGTTCACAAGATAGGCAACTGCAGCTGCTTCACTGGTCCCGAGGCCACTGCCTTTGGAGGTGACACGTGCTGGGGAGGTGCAGAAGCCATTGCCTTCCAGGGCAGCACTGCAGGCGTGCACTCTTTCATTCTATCATCGTGCACGGTCACATTTGTGGCCTTCTAGAGCACAACTACCCGCAAAATACCAATGGGTTGAAATGGTTATGTGCACCGTGCACAACAGGATTGGTGTAGTTTCTGTGAGGGGTTTTGCTTGGATAGGGCGTTTGTGGCGTGTTCTGGGTTACCTGCACGACACCAGGCCGACCCTCCCGATGTGCCCAGGAAAACCAGATGGTGATCAGATCTTACACTGCGCCGGTCTATCGGCCCGATATGCCGGACTTGGAAGGCTTGGGAGCAGTGGGCAGGTTGGACAGAAGGGCGGATGCTTGAGAGCGCATGGCAGCCTATGCCAGGGAGCTTGTTGAAGCCGTGATGGCTAACGTCGGCCATCATGAGGAAGGAGCAATACCATCAAATGAGCAAACCCTACAGATCAAAGAGCTCATTTGACTGGGTCCGGTCATGCAAAACCAGCACTCAATGAGGTCAAGGGCCAGGTTTAACTTGGCCCTTGGACTTGTAGGGAAATGATAGTCTCTTGCTTGAGTTAGAGGGTAGGACCTTTTGGGACACATGACAAACGTTTAGGTTGTGAATGTCAGTGTCCAGTGGCCCTAGTTTACAGGTCGACGATGAACAAGTATCCTTGGAAGCTTTGTCGAACAAGCCCAGGTATCCTTGCTCCTAGTAGTAAGGCCAGGAGCCCCTATCCTTGCTCCTAGTAGTAAGGCCAGGAGCCCCTAGTAGCGTCCTTG